ACAATCATTACACATACACACACACACACACACAATCATTACACACACACACACACACAATCATTACACATACACACACACACACACACAATCATTACACACACACACACACACACACACACACAATCATTACACATACACACACACACACACACAATCATTACACATACACACACACACACACACAATCATTACACATACACACACAATCATTACTCACACACACACAATCATTACACATACACACACACACAATCATTACACATACACACACACACACACACACACAATCATTACACATACACACACAGACACACACACACACACAATCATTACACATACACACACACACACAATCATTACACATACACACACACACACACACACACACAATCATTACTCACACACACACAATCATTACTCACACACACACACAATCATTACTCACACACACACACACACACACACAATCATTACTCACACACACACACAATCATTACACATACACACACACACACACACACAATCATTACACACACACAAACACACAATCATTACACACACACACACACACACACACACACACACACAATCATTACTCACACACAATCATTACACATACACACACACACACACACACACACACACACAATCATTACTCACACACATAAACACACAATCATGACACACACACACAATCATTACACATACAGACACACGCACACACACACACACACACACACACACACACATAAACACACAATCATTACTCACACACACACACAATCATTACACACACACACACACAATCATTACTCACACACACACACACACACACACACACACACACACACACACAATCATTACACATACACACACACACACAATCATTACACATACACACACACACACACACACACACACACACAATCATTACTCACACACACACAATCATTACTCACACACACACACAATCATTACTCACACACACACACACACAATCATTACTCACACACACACACAATCATTACACATACACACACACACACACAATCATTACACACACACAAACACACAATCATTACACACACACACACACACACACACAATCATTACTCACACACAATCATTACACATACACACACACACACACACACACACAATCATTACTCACACACACATAAACACACAATCATGACACACACACACAATCATTACACATACAGACACACGCACACACACACACACACACACACACACACACACACACACATAAACACACAATCATTACTCACACACACACAATCATTACACACACACACACACAATCATTACTCACACACACACACACACACACACACACACACACACACACAATCATTACACACACACACAATCATTACACACACACACTGATTTCCGAGGTCACAGCTGTGCCCACAGCACGCTTTCTGTCAATTAACCCAGATACGGGCTGCTCGTGCACTAACAAACACAGCGTGCGCCCTCAGAGGAGTGGGAGAGGAGGTTTTTCTGCTTCCTGTTTGGTGGTGGTCCTGGGTGATCCTGTTTGGTGGTGGTCCTGGGTGATCCTGTTTGGTGGTGGTCCTGGGTGATCCTGTTTGGTGGTGGTCCTGGGTGATCCTGTTTGGTGGTGGTATCTGGGTGATCCTGTTTGGTGGTGGTCCTGGGTGATCCTGTTTGGTGGTGGTCCTGGGTGATCCTGTTTGGTGGTGGTCCTGGGTGATCCTGTTTGGTGGTGGTCCTGGGTGATCCTGTTTGGTGGTGGTCCTGGGTGATCCTGTTTGGTGGTGGTCCTGGGTGATCTGCCCCCCTCTGTCCTGACTCGGTATGGGTGACCCTGCAATGCGATCCTCTCTGGACAGATTCTATTAGCTTCTCTCCCTGAAGGGACCAGCACAGCACTTTCTGCCTGTTGTGAAAAACATGAGAGCTCTCTGAAGGTCACCTGCACACACACTGCACACACACACACACACACACACATGCACACACACTGCACACACACACACACACACACACACACACACACACACTGCACACACACTGCACACACACTGCACACACACACACACACACACACACACACACACACTGCACACACACACACACACACACCACACACACACACACACACACTGCACACACACTGCACACACACTGCACACACACACACACACACACACTGCACACACACTGCACACACACTGCACACACACACACTGCACACACACTGCACACACACACACACACACACACACACACACACACACACACTGCACACACACTGCACACACACTGCACACACACACACACACACACACACACACACTGCACACACACTGCACACACACTGCACACACACTGCACACACACTGCACACACACACACTGCACACACACTGCACACACACTGCACACACACACACACACACACACACACACACACACACAGACTGCACACACACTGCACACACACTGCACACACACTGCACACACACACACTGCACACACACTGCACACACACACACACACACACACACACACACATACACACACACACACACATGCCTGCACACACACGCTGTCCCTCACAAGTTGACCTGACAGGGCGCCATCGACCCTCAACTTCATGAATGTTCTTCACATCTCTCTGAAACACACACACACATCTCTCTGAAACACACACACATCTCTCTGAAACACACACACACATCTCTCTGAAACACACACACATCTCTCTGAAACACACACACACATCTCTCTGAAACACACACACATCTCTCTGAAACACACACACACATCTCTCTGAAACACACACACATCTCTCTGAAACACACACACACATCTCTCTGAAACACACACACATCTCTCTGAAACACACACACACATCTCTCTGAAACACACACACATCTCTCTGAAACACACACACATCTCTCTGAAACACACACACATCTCTCTGAAACACACACACACATCTCTCTGAAACACACACACATCTCTCTGAAACACACACACATCTCTCTGAAACACACACACACATCTCTCTGAAACACACACACACCTCTCTGAAACACACACACATCTCTCTGAAACACACACACATCTCTCTGAAACACACACACACATCTCTCTGAAACACACACACATCTCTCTGAAACACACACACATCTCTCTGAAACACACACACACATCTCTCTGAAACACACACACATCTCTCTGAAACACACACACATCTCTCTGAAACACACACACATCTCTCTGAAACACACACACATCTCTCTGAAACACACACACACATCTCTCTGAAACACACACACATCTCTCTGAAACACACACACACCTCTCTGAAACACACACACACATCTCTCTGAACACACACACATCTCTCTGAAACACACACACACATCTCTCTGAAACACACACACACATCTCTCTGAAACACACACACATCTCTCTGAAACACACACACCTCTCTCTGAAACACACACACACACACATCTCTCTGAAACACACACACATCTCTCTGAAACACACACACACATCTCTCTGAAACACACACACACATCTCTCTGAAACACACACACACATCTCTCTGAAACACACACACATCTCTCTGAAACACACACACATCTCTCTGAAACACACACACACATCTCTCTGAAACACACACACATCTCTCTGAACACACACACATCTCTCTGAAACACACACACATCTCTCTGAAACACACACACATCTCTCTGAAACACACACACACATCTCTCTGAAACACACACACACATCTCTCTGAAACACACACACACCTCTCTCTGAGTCAGAGGAAGCCTCAGCTGGAGGAGAGGAAACATGGTTCTTTCTTCCTGTTCTGCTCAGCGTCTCTATTAGCAGGTTAATCAAGGCAACACTGCAGATGCTCCTCACTTTCTCTTTCAGTCCTCAGAGACCTGAGCCTGCAGTATTTATGCATCACCTCTGTATGCTGCTCTCCATCCTCTGTGCTGTGATTACTCAGAGAGAAGGAGCCAGACAGAATATGTGGAGAAGTTCCTTCAAAATAAAATACAGACTTCTCCTAAAGTAAAGACAGAGTCAGCAGCTTGTTCCTTCAAAATAAAATACAGACTTCTCCTAAAGTAAAGACAGAGTCAGCAGCTTCCTCCTTCAAAATAAAATACAGACTTCTCCTAAAGTAAAGACAGAGTCAGCAGCTTCCTCCTTCAAAATAAAATACAGACTTCTCCTAAAGTAAAGACAGAGTCAGCAGCTTGTTCCTTCAAAATAAAACACAGACTTCTTCTGAAGTAAAGACAGATTCAGCAGATGGTTGTTGTTGAATTGTTCTGGCTGTAAGGACCAATAAGAAAAGGTGTTGTTGGCTCGAGGCGAGCGGCGTCTTCTTGTTCTCCGTCATCATCTGTATCGATGGCGCCCACTTCACCTCCAGCTGCATCATCATCAGCATGCCACGCTGTGAGGAGCTACGTTTTAAAATGCTGATTATCTCCACGAGGCGACTCAGCGACACGTTATCACTCAGCGTGATGCTAGCTGACACGCTGTCCCTTGATATCAGCTGTTCAGGTCACGTTTGATGACACGGCCGGTCAGCAGACGAGAAAGACACGAGAGGCAGAAAAAGTGCTGATGAGAGTTTTTGTTGTGGTCACAGACCTGACACGTGTAGAGGGAGTTAGTGTGTCGCCATGGCGGCAATGCTGAAGGACAAAATCCTGCAGTACCTCGAGTGTCCACTAGAGGCTGGTGCCCCCCGATCTGTAGACTCGTTATCTGGCATAATGAAAGTGTTTCCTGTTCTCTCTCTTGTCTTACAGAAACGTCACAATGCCGACAGCGTGGTCAACAGGAAGGAATGTCAAGGTAGAGACACGTTTCTTCACTGACCCCTAACCCCATCTCTCTCTCTCTCTCTCCCTCTCTCTCTCTCTCTCTCTAACTCTCTCTCTCTCTCTCTCTCTCTCTCTCTAACTCTCTCTCTCTCTAACTCTCTCTCTCTCTCTCTCTCTCTCTAACTCTCTCTCTCTCTAACTCTCTCTCTCTCTCTCTCTCTCTCTCTCTAACTCTCTCTCTCTCTCTCTCTCTCTCTCTCTAACTCTCTCTCTCTCTCTAACTCTCTCTCTCTCTCTAACTCTCTCTAACTCTCTCTCTCTCTCCCTCTCTCTCTCTCTCTCTAACTCTCTCTCTCTCTCTCCCTCTCTCTCTCTCTCTCTGTCTCTCTCTCTCTCTCTCTCCCTCTCTCTCTCTCTCTAACTCTCTCTCTCTCTCTAACTCTCTCTAACTCTCTCTCTCTCTCCCTCTCTCTCTCTCTCTAACTCTCTCTCTCTCTCTAACCTCTCTCTCTCTCTCCCTCTCTCTCTCTCTCTAACTCTCTCCCTCTCTCTAACTCTCTAACTCTCTCCCTCTCTCTCTCTCTCTCTCTCTCTCTCTCTCTCTCCCTCTCTCTCCTCTCTCTCTCTCTCTCTGTCTCTCTCTCCCTCTCTCTCTCTCTGTCTCTCTCTCCCTCTCTCTCTCTCCCTCTCTCTCTGTCTCTCTCTCTCTCTCTCCCTCTCTCTCTCTCTCTCTCTCTCTCTCCCTCTCTCTCTCTCTCTCTCTCTCTGTCTCTCTCTCCCTCTCTCTCTCTCTAACTCTCTCTCTCTCCTCTCTCTCCCTCTCCTCTCTCTCTGTCTCTCTCTCTCTCTCTCTCTCTCTAACTCTCTCCGTCTCTCCCTCTCTCTCTGTCTCTAACGTCCTCTTGTGTCTTTGTCCACACAGTGCTGAGAAATGGAGCCTGGGAGATTGTGCACTGGAGAAGGTATGAAAACACAACATACACACACACATTCCCACACACACACCTCCAGCCTCTAATTAATGCAGCGTTTCCTTATGAAGCTGGAACTAAATCCAAAAGTGAGCAGACGATACCTGAAGTGAAGACCTCCTGATCGCTTCTCATCCCCTCTCTCTCTCTCTCTCCTCTTTGATGTTTGTCTGTCTCCTCTACTGCCCCTCCTCCTCTCTGTCGCCCCCTGCTGGTGTCCGGTTGCTGTTACCAGGTGGCTGTTGGAGAAGTAGTCAGAGCCTCAAACGGGGATCACCTCCCGGCTGACCTCGTCATTCTGTCGTCCAGGTCAGAAAACCAGCAACTCAACAAAACAGCGAGCGTTTTAAACTCTTCTTACTCCTGACACAAACGAGCAGTCATTTATTTTCTGCACTCGAGAAAGACAGTGGGTTATACTCACTCAGGATGGTTGAGTTAATATGACCTTTGACCTTTTAAAAATGAGCTTTATTTATGAATGACAGACTGACTGTTACAGATATTGAATCAGCTGTGAATTAGTTTATTGTATTTTATTGTGAAATCGCCAGCGTAAGGTCACTCTGAAGGTCATCGTGTTTTCCTCTTCACAGTGAACCTCAGGGGATGTGCTACATCGAGACGTCGAACTTGGATGGAGAAACCAACCTTAAGATCCGACAGGTGAAGATTCTTCCTCTGATCGCACGGTGAGAAGTCAAAAGAGTAAAAAAATAACTGAAGACGCTCCTCTGACTTCAGGGTCTCCAGCTGAGCGCAGACTTAAAGGACGCCGACAGCCTGATGCGTCTCTCGGGGCGCATGGAGTGTGAGAGCCCAAACAGACACCTCTATGAGTTTGTTGGGAACATCCGCCTGGACGGACACAGGTGAGCTCCACACCTTCAGAGCGTGTTAGCGCTGTTAGCTTATCTAGCATTGGAGCCAGAGGAGGTGTTCCCTATAGCAGAGCTTCCCGACATAAGAGCCCCCTTTGTTTAAGTAAAGCTTAGCCCCCCAGGATCCACACGCTTGTGGGTCATTAGGTTGGCGGGGGTTACCATCAACCATTGGAGGGTGTTTATTGTCGTGATGTCATGAGAAGGTAAAACAGAAACATCATGGAGTCATGTCGCTTTTCTAAACTATAATTTAATAACTGGATCTTCCTGTGTGAGACTGTGTTAGCATGTTAGCATGCTGTCCTGTGTGTAATCATGAAGTGTTTTTTCTTCCTCCAGTACTGTACCTCTGGGTCCAGACCAGATCCTCCTGAGAGGAGCTCAGCTCAGGAACACTCAGTGGGTTCACGGCGTGGTGGTCTACACGGGACATGACACAAAACTCATGCAGGTAAAGTGTAGTCTTCTGACTTTAGTCCTGAAACACAAGTTTCAGCATGATGATGACTCATCATCTCGAGTCTCTCATCGTTTCCCGTCTCGCCGTGTTTTACCCAGAATTCCACTCGGCCTCCTCTGAAGCTGTCCAACGTGGAGCGCATCACCAACTTCCAGATCCTGGTTCTGTTCGGCTGCCTGCTCGCCATCTCTCTGGTCTGCTCCATCGGTCAGACCATCTGGAAGTACCAATATGGCAACGACGCCTGGTACATGGACCTGAACTGTAAGAGTCCGTCAGCCCCGCGCTGCTCCTCATGTTTCTCCACATCAGCTTATTGTTTTTGTCATTTTGAGTTCCTAAATGCTGGTATGTGTCGTGTCAGTCTTCCTGTTGCCTCAGTTAAACGATGTTTCGCATACCAAAGTGAAATATGTGGCGATGCGGGAATAAGAGAATTCCCTGTTAACTGAGCGAGCCAGCTGTGTTTGTGAATGAGTGAGAAACAGAAATGGTTGAATATCACTGCGCTGCTGTACCTTTTTGTTCCTTTCTAATGTTCTGTTTGATTTTGTTGTTTTTCTTTGTTGTCGTTTTTTTAACAGCTCCAGGTAACAACCATTTTAAAGCCTTGGCCATCCCGTGAATGACCCTTCCTTTACTAACCCCTTACTGAAGCTCTAAGCAAATGAAGCCCCCCTACCCTCGCCCCCTAAACGGTTGCCCTACTTTGTTTGGGCCCGTGCCGTGGACGAGCACATACCAGGGATCCGACACTAGGTTTCTCCCCTCCAGATCTCTTTTACCTTCGTCTAGTTTTTTTTCAGTGCCTGATGCAGTGTCTCACTTTTCCTTCATTTTTATTGTGCCACGTCAAACACTTTGCAGTTCCCCAGCTTCAGACCCCTCCGTCCTTATCCCCCCCCTCCTCCAACAATTCCTTTAGATAAACGGACAGCGAGGTGATTATGGAAGCTTTCATAAGACAACATGTGGTGTAACCTCAGGGGCCGAGCGCCGACATTTACTAAAAGCCTTCTCTCGTCCTCCGAGTTACTCAAAGGACGGGGGGGGGGGGGGGGGGGGGGGGGAGTAGACCTGGTTAGTGTTATTCTCAAACAACTCAACAACACATGAACACATCCAACATGTGGCCGCTGTAGAGGCGGAGCTCCGGGTATGCAAAGTGGTTGCCGTGGCACCCTGGTCATTACTCTGTCCCCTGATAGGCCTGTGTAGGAGAGGTTGTGCCCTGGTCAACTCCAGCCTGCAGTATGACTTACACTGTCCCTTTAAGAGCATCACGCATTGGCTTCCATTTTGGTTTGTACGGGGTCTCCAGTGTTGGTATTAAACCAGCCTTTAAAAAACAGAATCAGACTGACTGAGGGGGGTGTAAGTCATAAAGCAGGCGTCCATCTTGAGACTGATTGTACTTCCATGAGGAGCTGTTGAGACTCTGTCCAGTGCATATTATCCAACCAGTGACAAAAGAGAGAGGTGGGCCGGGTTAGGGTCCAATTCTAACATCAACATCTACTCACACCCCTGAAGGCTCCCTAAACAATGTTTACTCACTCTCCAACATTTTGGAAAACACAATCAGGAGCAGCAGAGTGAGCCCGCCGCAGTGCGTCCCACAGGCATGACGTGGGGGGGGGGGGGTCATGTAGCGGTGACCCCCCTGCAGCTCGCTGACTCGGCACATAATGAGCTGCAGCTACCTGCTACAGCTTCCTGTCACTGAGTCACTGACGGCACGGTGACTCCGCCTACAACATGCTGGGGTCAGAGGTTAGAATTAGGGCTGGGCGATATGGACCAAAACTCATATCTCGATATTTTTTTTGCTGAATGGCGATAATCGATATATATCGATATGTCTTTTATTAACAGTCAGTTACACAAGTTCAACATGTACATGAAAATAAACTTCCTGTTTGTGAAGTTAATTAATTAATTAATTAATTAAAGAGTGAAGATAGAGAGAGAGAGAGAGGAGCAGAGTGAAGAGAGAGAGAGAGAGAGAGAGAGAGAGAGGAGCAGAGTGAAGAGGGAGAGAGAGAGGAGCAGAGTGAAGAGAGAGAGAGAGGAGCAGAGAGAAGAGGAGAGAGACAGAGAGAGGAGCAGAGAGAAGAGAGAGAGAGACAGAGTGAAGAGGGAGAGAGAGAGGAGCAGAATGAAGAGGGAGAGAGAGACAGAGTGAAGAGAGAGAGAGGAGCAGAATGAAGAGGGAGAGAGAGAGGAGCAGAATGAAGAGGGAGAGAGAGACAGAGTGAAGAGAGAGAGAGGAGCAGAATGAAGAGGGAGAGAGAGAGAGAGAGAGAGACAGAATAAAGAGAGAGAGAGAGAGAGACAGAATAAAGAGAGAGAGAGGAGAAACAGGTGAACTGGCAGCTCTACTGAAGACATACATAACGTTGTTTTAATGCAACATGAACTATATCGATATTAACAATATTGTCTTACCCATTATCTCGATTGAAAATACATCGATAAATCTTAAAATCTGGATCTATCACCCAGCCCTAGTTAGAATCTCTGTAAACATTCTGCAGACTTCAGAGAAGACAATCAGGTGCACTGTGCATGGCCTGGTTTGATTTATAACGACTCTCATCTTCACAGCAGAAATGTTCACGCCCCCCCGATAACAAGCTGGCTACTAGAGACGAGTGAGCTGATGTAGTGATCATCATTAACAGAACCCCACCCCCCTCTTTTCCACTCCTTGTTGGTTGAGAATGTGCTATGGACTGAATTCTCCCTCCTTTGTCTTGAGAGCATCCGATACGTTTGTCTTCCTCCCCACTTCTGAAAAAGTCCTCCCTCCTCTGTGTGTTGTTGTAGCAGTAGCTTCCATTCTGCCACTTTCTTTGTGCCATCCAGTTTTTGTTTTGCAATCGTTGTGTCATGGGGGGGGCGGGGGGCTGTCCCTCTCAACCACAATGCTAAGATCAAGGCTTGGGTTGAGGAAGGGAACATTTGCACCTCCTGCAAGCTGAGGAAAGGTAAAGCACATCCCTCCGTTTTCATTTCTTGATGTCAGTGGGGTTACATGTGGAGCTTTGTTTTTGGGCTTTAGAGGGGAAAAGCGCCATCTTGCATAGTGCTTTGTTGAACTCATTGCCTGGATTCATGCTGGATGCCAAGGCTGCTGCTCTGACACTATTTGAGACCCTTCAGTCCCTGCCGGTCTTCTTCCAGCCGTTGGGACTTTAAATTTGGACCGTTAGCGGGTCGAGCCGTAACACGATGAGGTTGGGTGGAAGAAATGGATCTTTTTCCAGCTGATGCACAATGTTAGCTCGGTCGCCTCCTCTGGATTGGGTTAACGTTGAGCATCGGCTGGAAGCAGCTTTGGGCCTTTTTCTCTGACTAACTAACGTTTATCAACCAGCACTGACGACTGTCCTGTGTATCGCCTCCCTCTCCAATAACTCGTCCCCTCATAGATGGCGGGGCAGCAAACTTTGGCCTCAACTTCCTCACGTTCATCATCCTGTTCAACAACCTGATCCCCATCAGCCTGCTGGTCACTCTGGAGGTCATCAAGTTCATCCAGGCCTTTTTCATCAACTGGGTGAGTGACCGTCTGCGGGTCAGCTGAGCGCCTTGTTGGAGAGAGAGAGAGTCGCTGCTTTATGGGCGAGTTAGATTCAAGTCCTCACAGTTCTTCTTTTTTTTTAACAATATGCTTTTTGAGTTTTAAACATTTTTCCAAGACACAAAATTACAATTAAATAAATTCTAAGGAAAAAAAAAGATATACACCTGCACATTTATAAAATAAGTAAAATATAATAATACAGAATAAAAAATAAATAAAAAACTTGAATTTCAAAATGTTGCAACATTATTACTGTCCGTATTAAATAAAAATAACCAAAGGGAATACATTGCCATAGATGATTTGTTCATCACAAATATTCTGCCCTATAACAGTTTCTGCAAAAACGACCACGATTACAGACATCGGCAACTCTTCACCAGCCTCGCTCAAAATATGTGACGGATCTTTATCCCGAAGAAGATGAATATGCAGGCCCCAGATATGGTCACCCTCACAGTTCTTCTAGTCTCGTATTGTTTTACTACAAAACTCAAAGAATATGTCATTACACCTCCTGTAAGCCCCGCCCCCCCTGACAGGTCTTAAATGTATTGGCAACGTGTCGGCGCTCTTAACCAATCATCATCATGACGTCAGCTTGGCACCGTTAAACCCGCCTTATAAGGCCCCGTGTCCACCTGGCGTGTTCTCCGGGCGCTGGCTGTGCGCTCTTGAGAATTTCCATGAAGCGTTTGTGCTCTGAGAAGAAAAGCGCTGCAAGTCTGTCCTGTCTCCATGACAACAGTCTGTTGACCACGGCAGCTGTATGAGCGACACTGCTCCGTTACTTTTTACTGCGAGTATTATATTTTAGATTGTTTATTTCCTGATCAGACGCGGAGCGAGGAGGATGAGGGTACGAGACACGATCAGTAGGCGACAAAACTACGGGGAACATTTGGAAAAGAACGGCGAGGAAGTCGAAATGGAAAAAGACGCTGGGTGCTGCTCTTATTCTCTGCTCATTGAAAACAACTGACGATGGCGCTCAGCCAGGTGGTCACGTGGTCTAAGAAGAGAGCACGTTTAAACCTTTAGAGCACGCTGAAGTCCAAACATCTGTAATCAGACGGAGCGCCTGAAATGTTCTCAGTAAGTGGGTCAGCACCACGTTCCTCCGCGGAGGACTCGTACTGTTCCTGTTCCCTGAAGTTATTCTGAGCCTCATTACATTTTTAATGAACGTCAGAGCGAGGAATGTGAGCAACATTCAGGACACTTCTCCGTTAGCTTCACTCCCACAGCGTCGGTCCGCTCCGTAGCTCCTGGAGGGGCAAAAGATCGAATGACTGAAAACAAATAATGGACTTTTTGTTTTCACCTCTGATGATGAAAGTTTGTTTGGATGAAAACTTTGAAGTTACTCTGAAGTTCTTTGTGGTTTGTTTCAGGACACTGACATGCTGTATGAGCCCACCAACACTCCTGCCATGGCTCGCACCTCCAACCTGAACGAAGAATTAGGCCAGGTGAGAACGTAAAGGTCCAATCAGTGAGCTGTGTAGAGAGTGAGATGATAAAGGTATCTTACTCTCTGATCATTAAGGAAACATGATATGTTGAAGTGCTGGCTTCTCTGACAACAACGCAGCAGCCAGTATGTCCTCCTTCTAACTTTAGATTCTGCTCCTGAATGCTCTGGATTTGTTTGGACCAGAGAAGGTAGGCGCTTTTAAGAACCCCCCACACGGCCGTTTTGGACGCCCCTGGTTTGTCAGATATGAGAGCAGTTATCAGGTCAACAGGTGTTGCAGCGATGGAAGCGGTCAAGAGAAGTGGTTCAGATAGAAGTGATTGTACCCGACCTAAAAAGCCTCTGCATGTTTCTAATAAGCTCCACGAGCAGAAACGTGCTCAAACTAGGATCAATATTGGAGATGCTTTTGAAAAATGGAGAGAGGTTAGAACACAGAAAGGTTTACAGACCCATGCAGAGCTGGATAAACACTGAAGCTTCAGAGTCCACCACATGGTGACCTGAGTGAGGGGGGGGGGGGACAGCTCTCTATGATGTTTAGAATTTAGACTGCAGTACACATTTTAAACACTAGGGGTCAGAGTTACATACTGCTCCTTTGAATCATTCTTCATATGATAATGATTATTTATTATTCTGCCTCTTTTACCCTCACAGGTCAAATACATTTTCTCTGACAAGACGGGGACCCTGACCTGCAACGTGATGCAGTTCAAGAAGTGCACCATCGCTGGTGTGGCGTATGGGTACGTTCTGTTTACTTCACCTTCTGTAAACACCATCACCATCATTAACTGCCGAGTGTACATCGCAGTACATCTGGAGTTTCTCTCTCTTCCCTGGCTTTCTCATTAGCAGCTACATCATTGCTAAACAAAAACTATAAATAAAAGACAGCCCGACATTTTTCACCCTCCTTCACCGCTGTTCATTGACCGTCTCTCCTGTCGGGGATTTCATTTAAGAAATTACTCCGATAAGCTTCAAAGTGTCCTCACACACAGCTCTGTTTACTTTTCCATTCACTCATCTCTTCATGTTGTTTTGTCTCTGAGAGTCTCGTTCACATAATCAGCCTCAGTGGATGCGAGGGCGGAGCGTCGCCACAGAACACGATTGATCCCGAGCCACAGCTAGCATCACAGCTAGCATCATGCTAGGAGAATACAGACAGATATCCAGAAACCTCCACCATCACTGATGATGTCATTACGTTCATGTGAAAGTGGAGGCCGTCAGATGTTTTGTTTCTTGTTCTTTGTTTAAGTGGGTCAGTCCCGCTGCTCGTCTCTCTCTCTCTCTCTCCTTCATCCCACGCCGAGCTGTTCTCCTTTGATTCTCTGCAGCGAGGACTCCCTGTTCTGCAGCCGATGAATATGGATGAGTGTAAAAACAGAGTTTGATGATCGTTTGGGTTTTCCTCTTTTGGCTTTGAAGAAGAGAAAACATTTATTCACAGTCCGACTCGTATCTGATTATTTGTCCAAAGAATCCTCCAGTGTGCGGCTTCATGATTATTTAACTGCTCCTGATGGAGTCGGCGCCTCCCCGACCTGGAATCATAAAGATCAGACATGTCCTGGTCGGACTGCAGCAGCCAATGAGAGCGAACCTGGAGGTCTGGGGCTGTGGCCGACTCGTCTCGTGGTTGAACATGCCCTCGTGTCTGTGGTCTCCTTTGTTTTTAAAGTTGGTTAGGAGCGTGCAAAAAGAAGTTTAGAGACTCACATTGAGTCAAAGCGTGTCGTACTCCGGGGTCAGCACACACACGAAGACGCCGCTCGCATTTGTTCATCCTCACCACTAATGAAGCGCTGCTGTGATTAATGAAGCCGACCTCACGGGGGCAGACTTTAATTAATTCCACTGGATTGGCGTCCAAATCTCAGGGCGAGAGACTGTTGAGGTTAGAGCGACTCCCACAATCCTCCTGTGAGGGTTAAAAACTCGAAAAATTAAAAGGCACAAAGTATAACCCAGTTTAACCAGCTGGTCACATCTCCTCCTCCTCCTCCTCTTCAACAACCAAAATAAGTAAATAAGTCTCAGAGCTCCTCAAAACATGTGTGTGAAGTTTCTTGTTCTAAATCCACTCTGATCCTGTATTTGATCATGTCTATAAACCCCTCTATTTCAGCCCTGCTCAGAACAGGCTGTTTCTGTGTCTGTACCTTTAAATATGTAAATGAGCTGTGTCTGACCACGCCCCCTCTCTGGAAGGGCTCAGGTGTCTCTGGTCTTTCTCGCTCCATGTCCTATTGTTTACGGTGAGAAGGCAGACTCAGAGGGCAGAACAAACACCTAGCTGTGGGAGTGTCACATGATGAGTCCTCATCGAGGCATCTCAGCGTGTTTCACCTTAATCTTCAAATATGATCAGATCTATAAAAAACAAGATGGCGGCGGTAAGACGCCGTTATCTAAACAGCGTTTAACCTGCTTTTCTCCCCTAACCTGCCCAGCTCTCGTCTAACCTTTCATTCACTCACATCGTAACCATGAGCGTGTTCATAACCGACTGTGTGAACGCCATCATTTCTCTCCCCAACAGTCACGTCCCCGAGGCTGAAGACGCTAGTTTCGCAGAGGACGAGCGGTAAGATGGCGTGTTGTGTGATGGTCGTTTTGGCTTCTGTGATGTTTCCGTGCTGCCTTGCCTTTGTAGAAAGTCTTGACTTTTGAAAACAACACCTCAATGTGTTTCCCTCTCTGTGCGTTCAGTCTGTACGTGGCGCTTGGTTTTTATCTGTTGCTGTTGAAGAACGGCCATCGACACATGTTCCCTCGTGTCGTGGCGTCCTAACAGGCTCGTGCACGCTCAGCAGCGTTCACACACTCACAGCTTCTCACATCCATCTGCTCTGGCGTTGACGTTTGCAGAGACAGCATGGGCGTGTCCTATCTACTGTGCATGGGGGGGCGGGGTTAATCTGGCTGCTTTGAGAGGAAGATGCAACCTCTCCTCTGCACGATGTTAAACACTGAGCGCCTGATTCACGATGAGGATTGCGCTGCTGTTCATCCAACATGTGTGGAGATGCTCTGGTTACCATGACAACCACTGCTTCTCTCCACATTCAGACCCTGAAGAAGAGCTAACAGTGTCTGTGTCTGAACATCATCAGAGCTAAACGCTTTGAGAGTTAGACTCAGAGACGAGACGAGAGAGGGAGAACGTGAGGAAGCAGATATTAGAGACTGTAATCATCGTCAGCCAATCAGAGCCTCAGCGTCAGATGGAATTGGATTAGAGCAGCACGCTGTGTCACAGGATTGATTGTCCGCTGCTATTGACTGTGAACAGCCAGCACTCGTGTTTCCATAGCAACAGGACCTCTGAGTGCTGGCAGATAATCAATACCTGACTGGTCGTCCACAGCCGGCCTCGCAAAATGTCATCCAGACGATCGGCTCTGACGAGGAGCGATCCAAAGATGTTCTACAGCATTCCACATCTCTGCAGAGTCATGTTTTTAAACTGAAGAGTGTAGAGATCAGAGAAAGGACGGTTTGAGGTGTAATCATTGGCTGTGTTTCTAACGTAGATCATCCTCGGGGGGTGGGACTCCGTATGTGGCTCTGAGGGTTTAGAGACTTTATGGTCGCCTCACCAACATTTTCTATCGACCGGATCCACAGGATCACAGAATCATGAGTCCCTCCAGACGCCCCGAGCTCCTTTAACCAGCTTCAGTTGAACTACATTAAGGTCACAGTTTCACCACGGCGCTCTGAAGAGACTTGGCCCAGGAGAACGTTTGTTTAATCAGAAGTATCCCAGCAACGGTTGCTATGAGCCAATCAGAGGGCCAGTTTTATTTGAAGGTTTCTCACATCTCACGATTTAAAGAATCCTGTGGTGAAGTATCAGATGATGTAATGTCAGGTTTTCCTTTAAAGCTCTTGTTGGTTCTGATGCTTCCTGCGTTCCTCCACAGCGCCGCTCTCCCGTCACATCGTCCTCTGATCCACCGGGTTCTTTTGACTCCTCTGTCTCCTCTTTCCTTCCAGGCACAGCACGCAGTCCTCAGACGAGGCGGGCTTTACTGACCCGGGTTTACTGGAAAACCTCCAAAATCATCATGTAAGTACCGTGAGGCTCTACGTGGTCGCTGCTCTGAGGAGGAAGCAAGGACGGACTGTGAATCTAATCTTGTGTGTTAGTGTACGATGGACGTTTTTATCTCGTGCTGGCAGACTCATTAATCGTTTCTTCTTTAAAATCAGTTGAAATGGAAACGAGGCGTTAATGACGGTTTGTTTTCACGGGCAGGCGACCTCATCGGCCTGATTGTAGGGCACAGACGTTTGTTTAGCCGCTGCAGGAAACGTTTCCTCTGCACAGAGATCAGACTCCACACATGAATATAGAACATATAGAATATGCTTTTCTGATCCGTCCTGAGACTGTGAGCGAGCAGCGAGCAGCTGTAGTGATGAAACCTGTGACTGATCAGCTGTTTGAGTGTCAGCACTAATCAGCGTCGTCGTTTGTGAAAACTGCAAATGAAGTCACTAAAATATATTTAATAATGAAAGCTCCTGATTATCGACGTCGTGTTCACAGGCTGCAGGTTTACAGGAGTTGATACAGAGTAGAAGGGGGTGACAGTCTGGAGGGGAGGGGGACCAGCAGTGCTGATATAAATCTGTTCCCCTAACGCCGCCCTCCACCCCGCCAAGTCTCAGCATCCTCTCAGGGTGTTTGTTTCATGTTCTCTTGTCCCCTCAACTTTGTCCACACCGAACCCATCTGAAGTGACGAGTGTCTGTCACTGTTGCCCTGACAACCGGACGCCCAGGAGTCCGTCTGGGTGATAGCTGGCAGCGAAATGCTGCAACCGGTCCTTACAAAGATAGTAATATAAGAACACTCACTCACACACACACACACACACACACACACACACACACACACACACACACACAGGTACACATGAGCGTGTCATTCAGAGGATACCTGTCAACTTCGAGCGGATTAGCATGCTGCTCGGAGGCTAAGGGGCGCTCACAGCCACCTGGACTGTAATAGTCCCCCCCCATTGGTTTGCTCCTTTGTTCCCTGTTGGCGATCTCTCCTCAGAGTCTCTTTAACTAGCAAACGGGGATATGTGACGACCATGTGTGTGTTTGTGTGTGTGTGCACACAGCTCGTTGTTTGATTAGAGGGAAACATCTGCAGCCAGATGTGTTCGCCACCCGGTCCTTTAACATCCGGGATAATTAAATAAAAAATCATGTTAGCTGAAGCTCGCCTTTATCTGCCGCTCTGCAGGTTTTAGACGACACTAGTGTCTACATGGAGTCCGTCCTGAAGCCATCAAACAGCTCAACTGAGCTTCATCTGACTTCATGAACAGTGAAAACATGACGTTCTACCTGAGGTCACATTATCACACGCTGAGAGGGAAAAGACTGCTACTTTAAATATATTATTCAGGATTCAGGATATTCAGGATCTTTTAACTTAAGTCTTTAACAGCTGCATACTGAACACACCTTGACAGGTGTGACAGGTAGAGTCGTCTCTGTGACACATCAGCTGAGAGCCATGCAGGTGGATCACAGTCCGTCAGGCAGTGGCGCCCCGCCTGACCTTGTTTCAGATCCTTCAGGTCTCTCTCGGTGTGCGGTTTCCGTGTTGTTGTGACAGCTGTTGTTTGTCGAACGTTCAAAGTCAAAGCGCCGTTCTCTCTTCCTTCCTGTAGCCGACAGCTGCTGTCATCCAGGAGTTCATGACCATGATGGCCACCTGTCACACGGCGGTCCCCGAGCACACCGATGGAAGCATCACCTACCAGGCGGCGTCTCCAGGTAGATCACACTTTAAGATTCAAAACTTAGTCTGCTGCCTCTTTTCTTTATAGCTGCTGATATTTACTGACATCATTACCCAGGTAAGAACCGTTAGCATCAGTCTCAACGTCCAAAAGTTCAAACGTTCTATCCATGCACACACTGAAGCAACCATCGAGCTTTAAAAAGACTTTAAGGAGCGATGAGTTCGACCTGGTGAAGCGTTCATTATCGTTTTTAAGAACATGCTCTGAGGGATCAAACGTTGATATTTGTCAGCTGCTCACCTTCAGCTCGGCACCGCTCGCCTCCAGGTGACGTGTGTGTGAAAGGTGCAGAAACATTGAGAGTGTGTTTCTGTGTTTCTGAAGAGATCTCCATCAGTGTCTTTATTCTGTTCCTGTTTTATTGTTGGGATGTGAAGTTTTCTCTTTGTCTCACCAAATGGAAACTCTGCTGCAGCCTGCAGCTCTGTGTTTCAGAGAGAGAGAGAGAGAGAGAGACAGAGAGAGAGAGAGAGAGAGAGAGAGAGAGAGAGAGAGACAGAGAGAGAGAGAGAGAGAGAGAGAGAGAGAGAGAGAGAGAGAGAGAGAGAGAGAGAGAGAGAGAGAGAGAGAGAGAGAGAGAGAGACAGAGAGAGAGAGAGAGAGACAGAGAGAGAGAGAGAGAGAGACAGAGAGAGAGAGAGAGAGAGAGAGAGAGAGAGAGAGAGAGACAGAGAGAGAGAGAGACAGAGAGAGAGAGAGAGAGACAGAGAGAGACAGAGAGAGAGAGAGAGACAGAGAGAGAGAGAGAGAGAGAGAGACAGAGAGAGACAGAGAGAGAGAGAGAGAGACAGAGAGAGACAGAGAGAGAGAGAGAGGCACGTCTCATTGACTAACACATCTCCTCGCTGACACACCTGCCAATCATCACAGTTTATTTTGATAGAACGCCACTCAGTCATCAGAGGAGGTGAAATGTTTCAGTGAGCAGAATGACCAGCTGGTGGGACGCCCTGTGTTTGAACGCCAGCATCTTTGTGTCCAATGAGGAGAGAGCGTTTGCAGTAGCAACACAGAGGAAGCTCCTTTAATTGAAAGTGATTGACAGGTCAGGCAACCATCTTTAATTAAAGGTGAGGTGCTAACGTCTCCTCGTGCTTCATCACTGATCTGAGTAAAGACACACTGACACGTGTTTGGAAGAGTTTCTGCTGCTTCACTTCTCTGAATACGAGCGACCACGCTTCTGCCTGATGGCTCAGCACAGTCCGGGTCCTGTGGAGCTCTGGGGTTTAAAGCAGAGACGTGATTGGCTGCAGAGAGAAGGGAAGTGAAGTGAAACAGAACGAGCAGAAACTTTTATTTATCACCCTGCAGCGTCAACCACCTGGTCCGCCTGTCAGTCACTGCTCGCCCTGTTAGAGCGTCACCGTGACGACTGTGACTGAGGACACGGAGACTTGGTGCTCGCCCTGTTAGAGCGTCACCGTGACGACTGTGACTGAGGACACGGAGACTTGGTGCTCGCCCTGTTAGAGCGTCACCGTGACGACTGTGACTGAGGACACGGAGACTTGGTGCTCGCCCTGTTAGAGCGTCACCGTGACGACTGTGACTGAGGACACGGAGACTTGGTGCTCGCCCTGTTAGAGCGTCACCGTGACGACTGTGACTGAGGACACGGAGACTTGGTGCTCGCCCTGTTAGAGCGTCACCGTGACGACTGTGACTGAGGACACGGAGACTTGGTGCTCGCCTGTTAGAGCGTCACCGTGACGACTGTGACTGAGGACACGGAGACTTGGTGCTCGCCCTGTTAGAGCGTCACCGTGACGACTGTGACTGGGACACGGAGACTTGGTGCTCGCCCTGTTAGAGCGTCACCGTGACGACTGTGACTGAGGACACGGACACTTGGTGCTCGCCCTGTTAGAGCGTCACCGTGACGACTGTGACTGAGGACACG